TCAAAAGTTTAAATATACGTGTAGATCTCTCACATGCTCGTTACATTTACATTTATGCCCATCTCTTATGTGTGTGGACTGGATCCCATTAGCGCGAATGAGTCAGAAAAAACTTCATCAAACAGACAAAACAACTAGACGACAAGCACATTTTACCATCTTTTAGTTTACTTAAGAGTTTGTTTGAACATTTAGCAATTCAAATCTTTTTATGAGTTTTCTCATGTATTGTTGTATTAGGAGACATTCACTTTAAGATCTCCGATTCGAATTTCATTGATGGGAAAGAGACTAATTAGTAACATGTTCTTATCCACGACCTAATAAACATACGGCTTAATACTAAAACTTTTTAGTTACAATTTTATAATAAAAAGCTAATAACCACATGTTACAATGATTTACTTAAAAATCAAGTTATGAGTTCTCCTCTTCTAAAAACAAAAAAATGTTTTTGAATATTACTAGTTATATTCAAAAACATTTTAACGTAATAGTGTTTTGGTTGACACAACACAATGGCGATATCCCCCACCCACGAGAGAAAGATTCTTCCTCGTTGGTTGTGTTATGTAATGACAAAAGCAAAACGTACGCACTCTCTTTTGACGTTACACAAAATTACTACTCTATTATTCATGTCTCATCTTCCTCTGTTTCCTATTATAAAAATTTATGTACATCTTTTTTCAAAGACTAAGATCAAATATTATAGCATTTTGAAGTGTGATCCTCTGCTCAATCCAATTTTTCCGTATATACTTCGCACGTTAAATTGGTTTTATTAGTCAAAAGATACCTCCACATTGATATTTGAAATGAAGAACCTAAAAGTTATGAAAAATTAATGCTTAAATTGAAACTTCATATAGAGTCGCACATTTAGGAATATGGATCTATCTTTGACTAAACAATTTTTTTGTGCATAGAATATAGAAGGGAAAAGGATGATCACGAGCCTAATTTGATTATTTGATGGGAGTCATTATCATATACTATTTTTGATGTAAGCCGACAAATAGAAAAATTAATAAAATGTTTGAAATTTACGCATTGTTTTTATGTTATATAAGAATTGTAATGGATATTCACTTATTTCATTTGTGAAGAAGGAGAGACAAGAAAAGAGACTCTCACGACTTTCTTTTGATTTTGGTGGTAGTCCTTATCATTTATGCTTTAATAATTTAGTAGACATGCAATTTTGGTATACCTGTCTAGTCTTGTTTTAAAATTTGGTTTTGTTCAGTTTAGAATATTAGAAAATTCCACCAAAAATTGGAGTGTGAAAAAATTTCAACTGTCTATATCCCTAGATTCAGATAGAAAGTAATTGTAAATATAGGTTATTTTCCTCCATTATAGTCTGTCTTTGTCTTTTCATATTTACCTTATATAGTTTCTTATAAATTGAGTAGACAAATAAGTTGATATGGCCGAGTTGGTCTAAGGCGCCAGATTAAGGTTCTGGTCCGAAAGGGCGTGGGTTCAAATCCCACTGTCAACAATTTCTTTTCTTTTTTCACTTTTAACATATTTGGGCTTCTAGTTTTGGTCCACTACGCAAGTATTTGTTGCAAGTGAACAATGTCAAAAGGTGCATCCCGCCCAATTTGAAATGAAACATATGACACCAAACAAAACATATTCAATGATCTTCCGTTCATCTCATAGCATTAGCTTAACATATATTAATATATAATTAAATGTTACACTTATTAGTCTAATTAATAGATGTCAATCATGTAATAGTCATAGATGCCAAAAAGAAGAGAAACTTAATCAGATGTGATATGTTTGGTATGGATTACTCGAGTAATCCTTTATTAATTTTTCTTTAAGCAAGTTGGAAAATTTGAGTTATTTATGAAGATTTTGAGTATTTATCCAATCAATTGCTTGGAAGAATTAGTTAACTCGTTATCATAGGCAGTGGCGAATATAGAATTTTTTTTTATCGGTGTCATTATATAATATTTTAAGGAATAATATATGATTAAGCA